AGTATATAGTTAACATGTCTTCCAGTCAACCCAATTAGGAACTACCGTCCTCACCATCGCATTCCATTGGTGCTTCCCTACCACCCTAACACCCTTTCTCCCTCCAGGACCATTAATGACAATTTCCCCATTTTACAGGATGATCCCTCCACTGGTACCCTATTTCTGACTGCCCCCTTATCTCGTATTGCCAACCACCTAATCTGAGCAACCTTAACCACCCATCTTTTGCAGAAAACGCCCAGCTATTTACGTTGGTGAGACAGGAAGAAGCCTCACAGACTGTTTCTGGGAACATGTCAGATCTGTGGGGATCAAAGAGCTCTCCAAGCCGAGTTCCCCATTTCACCTCCAACAGACATTCAGGGATCATACTGATCTCTCCATCTGCATCCTCCTCAGAACTCCTATTGCAGAAAAACATCTGAAACCAAAATTTTGCTGAAACAAGAATCACACCTTCCCCCTTCTCTCAATGACAGATTCATGTCCTTCTAAAACCCTTCCATTCCTTCACAGATTTTGGCTTTGTTCTCCCTGAACCTGGACACTCATTCTCTTCTGCTTCAAGCCCATTTGCTCCCTCCTATCCGCCACATCCTCTCTACTGTCTTTTGTTCCCCCATGCCTTATGTATCTGCTAGTTCCCCTCTCTCCCTCACACCTGATGACGGCTTCACAGCCAAAATGTTGTGTCTCTTTTTGTCCTTATAGCATGGAATAAACCTTTACTTGTTCCTCTAACATACTGTTCATTACTTTTTTAAGAATGTTATTTTCGTTCCACAAATAAATACAGATGAACACAAAACAGGAAGCTTTACATTAAGATAAATATATACTTAGAACAGAATATATGAATAGACTTCATTAAGTTTAGACAAGGTAACAGTTACATAACAATAATTTATCTTGTTCAGGTGCGTTTTTTCCAAGTCGTTTTTGATCACTTCCAGATCTGGACAAATCCCATTGTTTACGTTTACATGATAATCTATTTCACAGATTCTTGAGGGACAGTCCTATGCCCTCTATTTTCCACGGGTTTTCTGCTTCCTCCCTCCTTTCTCTCCACAGATCTCTGAGGTAACAGTTCTCTCTAATAATGGACGGGGCCAGGCTACCTGCTCCCTTGACTGGAACCTCAATGCCTTTGATCACTCTCCATAGGGTCTTATATAATCTTTTCCACAGTCGTACTGTAGCGATGAGCACTTGTTAGGCTGAGTGGAAAGTAAAAAGTTAACAAGGCAGCTTGAATGCTCACAGGGAAG